AGTATAATAATAAAATGTTCACAGGGTGAAAATGTAGATTTTAGGATTTTTGGTATGGGGGTTATGGGATAAGATGGAGGAATCTGGGCGTGTCCAGCCTCTCTTCTTCTTCTTGTTCTCCATTTTCTGCAGTGATGTTGGCACTTTGGGACTGGTTTAGAGTAGAAGTGCACTGTCTAACATAGGTGATGGGTATTGGGAATTAAGTGTAAATATGTTACACGTAGTTTGTAGTATAAAAGGACAACTCAGAGTGCCTGTGGCTGCCTTGCTGAGCAGATCTGGGCTGGGCAGAAAGAAAATTTTATAGATAAGAATTAATAAACAACCTCAAGACCAAAAACTGAAGAGCTCTGACTCGTTCTTCGGGCGCACAGGCTGAAACAGAGACATCCTGCACATCTCAGGGCAGCAATGAACAACCAAAAACCTGAGAATCACTGAGAGTGATCACTGTCTCAAAACCTTTCCAGAAAATAAACAGCCCCAAGAAAAGCCCATATTCACTTTCTCTGTCTGTAGGTCCATGCACTTTACATCCAACAGCTCAAATGACTTTGCTACAGCCTCACCCTGAGCTGGGGCAGGGGCAGAGATGCTGCAGCCCCGTTACTGATGTGAAACAGGAGACAATGCTGGGAATGAGATGTGCTGGGTGGGAAGGGCACTGTGACAGCTCTGTCACTGCTCCTGCTGCTCTGGGACTGGAAGTTCCCTCACAAGGTGGCTTCAGAAAGACCAGAATGAGTTTATTTGATACAAGGATCTGTGCTGACGTGCAGTTTTGGTGTCAGGCCCAAGGAGTGATAAACAGCTGGGTTAGAGGAGGTCAGCTGGGCTTGCTCTGCACAAGATACTGAAGTGAAACCAGTCTAATGATTTCTGTTACCTTGTGCTGGCTGAGCAAAAGGGGAAACTGGGTTTGTTTATTGATAATTATAAAGCTGTGGAGAGCTTTGTGCATTAGCACTGTGCTATATTTAAATGGTATCCTGTCTGTCAAATGTCCCTGTTACAAAATGTTCTTTGCCAAGATGATGGGCCTCTCTTTTTTAAAGTTGCTTTTGAAAAGCAATCGTTTTCAGAAAATTGGTTAATATGCCATGGCTGGGGCACCTCTGTGTCTTGACTTTGTGTTGTTAAGTCATTCCAAGAGCATTTTAAAGGTGTTATGAACAGCTATGGGAAATGCCACTTCACCACTTGGAGACTAGAATGATTGCATTTCTGAGAGATGAAATAATTCTTAGTGCAGAAAATAGAGTGTTCTCCAGCCTCTCACCCTGTGTGCTGCAGTGCTATCTTTAATTAGAAGGCTGTCACAGCTGAAGTAAAAATACCAACTCAAAACAAAACCTCCTGTGAATCAGACTGAGAGCCATGAGCTTTAAAGCTTTACTTCTGAACAGCTGGAGCCCTGACAGGAGCATTCCAGCCCCTCGTGCTGCCCAGGCCGTGTCTGGCACACGGGGCAGGAGGAAATGTTCCCCTCTGCTCATGGGAGAGGTGCTCCAGGTTCAGCAGCAAGAGGAGATTCATGTCCTGTGTCTTCAGCCAACAAAAACCACCTCGTTTCATGCAGGCCATGTTAGAGCTCTAAAATGTCACAGTGTGCTCAGGACTGAGCTGAAACCCTCAGGTTGCAGAGAGCTGCTCTTGGGACATTTATAGACCCTTTAATTAGCAGGAAAACCTATCTTCTCCTTAAGGATTTATTAAAATCACACATAAGCTCTGCTGCTGAAAGATGCTCATTAATTCGAGATTCTCTTGGATTATTCAGCAGAAGAGTGAATATCCCTCACAAGGACAGGCTTTGAAGATCATTTCCTTGAAATAAGTAACTTTTAAAAATTCCTGGAATTTCTTTTTCATGTTATCTTTGAGATAGATATGAGATAGACACAAAGCCAGCTACAGTTTTGGCTAGAATATTGCTAGAATATTTGCTAGAATATTACCTTGCTTGTCAAGGTAAAAACAAGCCAGAGAGGCCTGGTCTGGAATATTCAATTTTAGAACTTTCTCCTTTCAGAAGTGACCTTATCCAGTACCCAAATGGACACCCTCCATCATGAACACCTCATTATGTGTGTTGAAATAGGCATCTTCTCTGCTTTTTCAATTTTGTATATTTTTTTGTGGTATTTCCCTTTTTTACTCTCTCAAAATATGGCTCCAGTTCCTGACTAATTTTGCTGTAATGCTGCACTAACCAAATATTTTTGTGGAAGAATTATTAGTCATAGAAGAAAGAATGTAATGGAATATTCTTAGAAAGTGTTATAACTATGCTTGACATGTAAAATATTTATCCAGGCATGTAAACAAAACAAGAGGTGTCTTGCCAATGTCCCCTTGTAAACCATGGCTGGTTTGAAATCATGAACTGTTTTTCAGTTCTTGAAAATAAAGTATCAGGTTCTCTGCTGACATGAATTGGCACAGTGCTAATGGCTGGCCTCACCTACATGAAATTGTAGCCCCTGCTCTTGCCTTCCTCAAAATAAAATCAGGAGGTGTTTTCCAAAGGGCTGCAATTGTGCTAAATAAAACCCCTGTGTTTATTTTGGTTTCGGATTACTCAGTGTTACTTGCAGTTACTAATGCAGCTGCCCCGTGAGAGGAGCCTTATGTTTGTTTTGCTTTTTCTTATTGTTGTATCTCAATGAGCATTAAACCATGTGTTTGATTCAGAGAACTCTGTTCTTCCTGAGGACAGCACTGATAATGTTCCCTTTGTGCTTCAGAGGAGCATCTCTGCCCTCCCAGAGGAGAATCCAGCTGTGCTTTATCTGAACAAGCTTCCAGCACCTGTGTGGTGAGGCAGGGCAGTGCCCCATGGGGATGGCAGATAATGCCCCTGGCAGGGACCTGTGCCAGCCTGAACCAGCCCAGAGCTGGGGGACACCTGAATTTGCCAATCCTGCTTCTGCCCTTCACACTGCACCTGGAGTCTGAACCTCCTTCTCAATATTTCCTTGCAAATTTAATTACCATTGCATCCCTGCGTTTGTTTCTTGGGTTTGCTTTGAGTTTTTTCACTGTTATTATTTTGAAAGCTCCTCTGACTGCTTCCAACTTTTTAAAATATGCCACTTATTGTTATTTTTTGAGCTGCTGGTGTGTAATTGGTGAGAAATGAATGGCAGCAGATGAGCTGGGAATGAGTGAGCTGTTACTTGTTGGGATCCCTTCCAGAGGAGGAAGGAGGAGTTCTGAGCTGCTCCCAGCCTTTCTAAAATAAGAGTCCAAACAAGGAGGTGCTTTTTGTCGTGGGTGAAATGTCAGATAAGTTTTTGTAGCAAGCAAAAATGTAAATGCTGAGAGGAATTTTGGTTTAGGGTATTGTCTCTGATGAATTTTTAATTTTTACATAAATTAATTAAAATTTGTATCGTCCAAAACACACTGATAATACAGCAATGCTCATCTCGAGAGATCCACAGTGGACAGTTGCTGTCCCAAAAACAAATAGGGTCATTATAAAATCTAATTTATAAATTATACATACACAAATAATGTAAATTATATATAAAAATATATAAATCTATTCTTTCTCCTGATGATAGCCACCAGCCTCACCTGGTGTGGGACAACACCTCTTGCTGATCAGAGATTCTTGCTGTTTACATTCCCCCAGCCTATTGCTCCTGTGTCTGGACAGATGAGAGAATTGGGCATTAAAGAAATAAAATCTTGCCCCCAAACCAAAAGTAATAACAAGTTTTTATACAAAAGTTAGTAAATTAGTAACTTGGATTTTTTTTCTATGTTGTATTGCTTGGTTTGTTTTTAATTAAGAGCTCTCTAAAGGCATCTTTTATTCAGACTTGCCAGGACACATGTGCTTTATCACTGGCATGAGTCAGGAGGAAAATATTTCCTGCCTGTTTAGACTCTCTATGCATTAAAAATTATATATTATTGATGATCTGTGATATATTTAACTCTGTTGTTTTGTGAAATGGTGTTTGGAGCAGTCTCTGAGCTGTATCTTAGGGGAAAGCAGTAGGAGACAGAATCGATGGATTTAATATTTGAGCTGGCAGAGGGGACATTTCCAGGTGACATAAACAATGTATTGCCTTGGCCACGGCACAGGAGCACTGAGGGAGGGTGCTGGTTCTTATTGAGGCTCTTCAGCAATGCACTGATGGGTCAAAATAACTCAGTTTTATCAATTTTAATAACTCATTTTATCCTCAGTTACTGTAAATTTGTTTGGGCCCAAGTCCTGGGGCTCCTGGGCTTGGCAAACCATATGTACATAACCAAAAATTCTGGTGGTTTATTCCTCTCTGCTTGTCTAAGGGATGTGTGGCAGGAAGGTGTTTTAATAAATAGTATCAAGGGTTTAATAAGGGTTTAATTTGAGATTCTCTTGGATTATTCAATAGAAAAGTGAATATTCCTCACAAGGACAGGCTTTGAAGACCATTTCCTTGAAATAAGTAACTTTCAAAAATTCCTGGAATTTCTTTTTGCTCGTTATCTTTGAGATAGACACAAAACCAGCTGGCTAGAATATTGCTGGGCTCTCTCTTGTCAAGGTAAAAACAAGCCAGAGAGGCCTGTTCTGGAATATTCAATTTTAGAACTTTCCCCTTTCAAGAGTGACCTAATCCAGTTCCCAACTGGACACCTTCCATCAGCACAAACTCCTCATTATGTGTGTTGAAATAGGCATCTTCTCTGCTTTTCCAATTTTGTGTATTTTTTGTGGTATTTCCCTTTTTTACCCCCTCAAAATATGGCCTTTTCTACCACACAACTGAGCCTTTTCTACCACACAATTCCTGCAAAAACTGAATGAAGAATTTGGAGAAATATTCACGAGGCTTTTACTGAATAGAGGAGACTTTAAGCTGTTACCACACGGATTACATTCAAACTTTCCACGAATCAGCTGGAGGGACTTTTAACCTGAAATATTTACATGAATCAGCTCTGGGGGAGTGCCCAGCGCTGCTCCAGGAGTTTAAACTCCGAAGCTTTGCTGTGCCCGGTGCTTCCCTCTGCTCCAGGAGGATTTCGGGCTCTGCAGGGAGCGCCCAGCACGGATGAGCCGGCAGTAAGTGAGGGGTGCTGGGCACAGGGTTTGCTCCGGACTTACACCGGGAAATGTGGGTGATCAGAACTTCTGGTGGATCAGATTCTCTGCTAGAACTCCCTCAGAAATACTCTTGTCCTTATGCAGTTTGTAGTTTATAAGTGAAAAGCTGGACTTCTTATAGTACAAATGAGAGGACAGATTCTCTGTTAGTGCTCCCTCAGAAATACTCTTGTCCTTATGCTGTTTACTGCAGTTTATAATTTAAAAACTGGACTTTTCATAATACAAATGAGAAGACATTCTCTGTTAACACAGATTCTCTGTTAGTGCTCCCTCAGAAATACTCCTGCCCTTATGCAGTTTGTAGTTTATAATTGAAAACCTGGACTTCTCACAGTACAAATGAGAGGACAGGTTCTCTGTTAGTACTGCCTCAGAAATACTCTTTTCCTTATGCAGATTGTAGTTTAAAATTGAAAAACTGGAACTTCTCATAGTACAAATGAGAGGACAGATTCTCTGTTAGTGCCCCCTGAAAAATACTCCTGTCATTATGCTGTTTACTGTAGTTTATTATTTAAAAACTGGACTCCTCATAATATAAATAAGAGGGCAGATTCTGTGTTAGAGCTCCCTCAGAAATACTCCTGTCCTTATGCAGTTTGTAGTTTATAATTGAAAAACTGGACTTTTCATAGTACAAATGAGAGGGCAGATTCTCTGTTAGTGCTCCCTCAGAAATACTCCTGTCCTTATACTGTTTGTAGTTTATAATTGAAAAGCTGGATTTTCATAATACAAATGAGAAGACAGATTCTCTGTTAGTTCTGCCTCAGAAATACTTCTATCCTTGTGCTGTTTGCTGCAGTTTGTAATTTAAAAACTGGACTTTTCATACTATAAAGAGAAGACAGATTCTCTGTTAACACAGATTTTCTGTTAGAACTCCCTCAGAAATACTCTTGTCCTTATGCAGTTTGTAGTTTATAATTGAAAAACTGGATTTTCATAATACAAATGAGAGGACAGATTCTCTGTTAGTACTGCCTCAGAAATACTCCTATCCTTATGCTGTTTGCTGTAGTTTATAATTGAAAAACTGGACTTCTCATAATACAAATGCAGGAATTGAAATAATGCGAATCTGGAACCAAGTTGGATTTAACTGCCTAAGAAAAGCTGAGAAATAAAAGGTTTTTTAAATCCAAAGGGATAAGGCAGCTTTTTTATGCTTTGCTGAAGTGTGTGGGATTTTCTGAAATCTTTGTAAATACTTTTGCAGCAAATGGTAGAGCAGAAACAAGAACCAAACTCTGTTGTCTGCAGCACCTACTCCTTTTGCAGGCTCTCACCTAAGTATTTGTAGCTTAATTTAACACAGGTGAAGAGAAAGTGTAACTCACAGGTGTCACCTGCCTTAAAACTTCATTTAGCTCAGTATTGTTTATTTTAGCAGGGAATATTTTTTTCCTGTCTCTAGGTAAAAATATCCTGCTTATATTTGCAACAGCTCATCTTTTGCCACAGTTTTTTTCCCTTTTCCCTGATCATATCTGCACAATCCAACCTTCTGCCAAGGAAGGAGGTGTGTATTCTATATGGGCATGGCCAGCTTTATTAAAAGTGCTGAATTTAATCAGATAGCACTGGCAAAGCTGCCATTGCCATAGGGGTAAGAAGCTTTTTATGAGGATCAAATATAAATTTTCAGGTGACTGTCTTTATTTATTCCAGAATTGTGAGGAAATACTCTTTGCACTTCACTTGGGTTTGCTCTCTAATTTGAATACCTTGGGCCTCAGAGGTAAATAAAAAATAAAAATAAATAAAAAATAAAGAAGCGGTAAGTTGTTGCTGTGGTGAGGGATTTTGCTCCTGGTGGAACATTGCTGGATGCATTTCATCTCTTCTGTTGGTGAGGCTGCCACGGTGTGACCTTCCTATTTTGGGAAAGTCGGTAAAAGGTTACATCCAGTTAATAAATATCCATTATTTTTCTGCAGGTTTCAGTCTTGGTGTGTAGATTGGCAAAAGAAAAGCTGTGTGAGTGTGGGGCACTGGTGAGGGGTCAGTTCAGTGCATAAACTGAGCACTGGTGGTGACAGAAGGACCTGGTGACCCCCAGGTCTTAAATCAAAGTGTGCAAAAGCAGTGTTAAACCCTTAAACCCATCTTGCCAACTGTAGTTTTGAATTACATTTGTAGAAACAGTGGATTTTTGTTGAGCCTCAATTAAATGAGTAAGTCAGTAAACTTTGCTAACAGTGTGGCACTATGCACAGAATGGGAGAAACAATCAAGCATTTCATCAGCCTCCTTGCTGTCTCCTGCCAACATTTTCAGGCTGTCCTGCATTGCATCAGGCCTGCTGGACATTATTTTCCATCTATCATTTGAAGCCGGATGGAAAATGAATCCTCTCTATATTGATAGAGTTATTTCATAACAAGGGAAAAGCTTTTTGTCACGTGCCTGTGCTGGTTCAACCTACAAATCAGCTTTTATTGTCTGCTTGTGTTTGTGTTGGGAGAATGAAATGAGGATCAGTAGGAGGTGTGTGAAGAGCATGTGGAGGCTGCAGTTGGATGGTTTTCTCTCTGGTACAGACCCTGTTGTTCTCCAGTGCTCCAGGTGTATCTGCAGCTGCCAGGGAGTGGCAACCCCAGCCCTGCCAAATCTCACCTTGCCCTGAGCATCTCCCTTGGTTCAGGTGCACAGGGCAGTGTTTGGGGCTCAGCCAGGCTGGCACAGCTGGGGATGTCCAGCCTGGATGGGAGAAGGCTCCAGGGAGACCTCAGAGCCCCTTCCAGAGCCTAAAGGGACTAAAACAGCTGGAGAGGGGCTTGGGACAAGAGCCTGGAGGGACAGGACCATGTTGTTCTCCAGTGCTCCAGGTGTATCTACAGGTGCCAGGGAGTGGAAACCCCAGCCCTGCCAAGTGTCACCTTGCCCTGAGCATCTCCCCTGGTCCTGGTGCATGTGCAGTGCTTGGGGCTCAGCCTGGCAGTGCTGCTTTCCCAGGCTGGCAGAGGTGGAGATGTCCAGCCTGGATGGGAGAAGGCTCCAGGGAGAGCTCAGAGCCCCTTCTAGAGCCTAAAAGGGACTAAGAGAGCTGGAGAGGAGCTTGGAACAAGGTCCTGGAGGGACAGGACACAGGGAATGGTTTCCCACTGCCAGAGGGCAGGGCTGGATGGGATATTGGGGAGGAATTGTTCCCTGGGTGGGTGGGCAGGCCCTGGCACAGGGTGCTCAGATCAGCTGTGGCTGCTCCATCCCTGGCATCCCTCCGTCCCAGGCTGGATGGGGCTTGGAGCCACCTGGGACAGTGGAAGGTGTCCCTGCCATGCCAGGGGGTGGCACTGGGGGGGCTTTAAGATCCATCTTAGTTACAGAATGAGCCATCAGGTCAGGTGTAATTTTTTAATATTGAACATTTCACTTTTTGCCTTTCTCTCTACTGGATGAGTTCTGTCACTCTGCACAGCCCTCTGCAATGCCTCCCTGCCACTGGGAAGTTTTTATTGCAGGTGAACTGAGCTGACAGGCAGAATCATTTGGTTTTTCTCTTTCTCTGGGAAAGTCTTCATCTGATGATCAGAAGCAAATAGTTATTATGAAATTTAGAAGTTGGATTGCTGCCTACTTGCCCATATTAGAATTTTTCAGCAGTTTGATGGCTGCTTTTTTATTTAACCAATGTTACCCAGCCCAGGGGAGATCCATTATCTCTGTGCTGCATTCCCTGCTGTGGTTTGTACCTTACAGTGATTCCCCTAATCCTTATGTACAGGAAACATTCTCCTTATGTATCTTAAACCCATGAGATTGCACTTTTCCTCTCCAAAGTAGAAAGCCAATCATTGCTAATTTGTTTCTCTGCTTTTATATTTAGAGAAACTTTTGGAATATTCTAAAGAGACCTTTTAAGAATTTATGCTGGTTTTATCTGATATAAAGTTAGTTTTTTTCCTAGTAGCTTATAGGGGGCTCTGGTTTGGAATTCAGCTGGAAAAAAGAGGTTGATAACACAGGGGTGTTTTATTTATTGCTGAGCAGGGCTCACACAGAGCCAAGGCCTTTTTTGCTGCCCACCCACCAGTGGGCTGCGTGTGCAGAGGAGCTGGGGGCACAGCCAGGCCAGCAGACCCAGGGATGGATATTCCTCTCCTTATGGAAGTGGAATAAGAAGCATACAGAGCTGGGGGAGGAAGGAACAGGGGGGATGTTAGGAGTGATGCTGTTTTTCTTCCCAGGTGATGGAGCCCTGCTCTCCTGGGCATGGCTGAACACCTCCCTGCCCATGGAAGGTGGGGAATGAATTTCTTTTATGCTTTACTTGCATGCACAGCTTTTATAGAGTCCTAGAATGCCAGATTGGCTTGGAATAGAAGGAACCTTAAAATTCATCATATTCCATCCCCACCATGGCAGGGGCACCTTCCACTATCCCAGGTGGCTCCAAGCCCCCTCCAGCCTGGCCTTGGGCACTTCCAGAGATCCAGAGACAGCCACAGCTGCTCTGGGCACCCTGTGCCAGGGCCAGGGAGCAATTCCTTGCCAGTATCCCATCTGTCCCTGCTCTCTGGCAGTGGGCAGCCATTCCCCTTGTCCTGTCACTCCAGTTCATTATGAGCAGTCCCTCTCTGGCTTCCTTGGAGCCCCTTCAGATCCTGCAAGGTGCTGTGAGATCTCCACACAACTTTCTCTTTTCCTTTACCTATAAAATGTCTGGCTCTTAACCCACAAGTTCTTCCTCCAGTTCTCTCCCCATCCCACCAGGGAGCAGTGAGCACGTGGCTGTTTGGGCTCAGTTGCCATCTGGGGTTAAACCAGGACACAAATTAAAGCCAGGCCTTAGCCAGTGTGGAAAGACATGCAGCTCCATCAGAAATCCATCTTGTTCTCAGAGCAGGGCTGTGGAATTAGGTCAGGCACACCCTGCGTGCGCGTGTTTCCTGCTTGCTCATATTTCTGAGAATAATTGGACATGGGAATGTTTTTGTAGACTTAAAGGAGGG